GTCTCTCTGTCTCTCTCTCTCTCTCTCTCTCTCTCTCTCTCTCTCTCTCTCTCTCTCTCTCTCTCTCTCTCTCTCTCTCTCTCTCTCTCTCTCTCTCTCTCTCTCTCTCTCTCTCTGTCTCTCTCTCTCTCTGTCTCTCTCTCTCTCTGTCTCTCTCTCTCTCTGTCTCTCTCTCTCTCTGTCTCTCTCTCTCTCTCTCTCTCTCTCTGTCTCTCTCTCTCTCTCTCTCTCTCTGTCTCTCTCTCTCTCTCTCTCTCTCTCTCTCTCTCTCTCTCTCTCTCTCTCTCTCTCTCTCTCTCTCTCTCTCTCTCTCTCTCTCTCTCTCTCTCTCTCTCTCTCTCGTCATAGCATTTCTGTCTGTTCTATAATACTATGACCAACACTTAACTGCAAAATCCAATTTCTTTTATTAATTTTTTCTACCACAGACGTGGCCAGACATTTACAATGCTAATCAGCATTTATACATTTTCTTCTGCCCTCCATGGACAGGGTTAGAGATGTGTTAAACATATAGTTCAGTGATTTATTGAACAATCAACCACAGAAGGTGAATTGTACTGTTCTTAAAAATGGTAATCTAACCTACATATATAAATACATAGACTAACGAGTGTGCTACATAAACGGTGTTCGATGTATCTTTTACACAGTGTCCGCCATGGATCCTCTTTCCTCCTATTTCATTTTAATCGTCATTATGTCTTTTATCCAATATTCCGTTTCCACGTATTTATTCCTTCTTTCCTCCGGCTTGGGAGCCGGTCGGCCGAGCGGACAGCACGCTGGACTTGTGATCCTGTGGTCTCGGATTCGATCCCAGGCGCCGGCGAGAAACAATGGGCACAGAGTTTCATTCACCCTATGCCCCTGTTACGTAGCAGTAAAATAGGTACCTGGGTGTTAGTCAGCTGTCACGGGCTGCTTCCTGGGGGTGGAGACCTGATCGAGGACCGGGCCGCGAGGACACTAAAGCCCCGAAATCATCTCAAGATAACCTCTTGCTCCTTTTGTTATTTTTCTGCCCATTTGCTGCTCCAATCTCTTTCATCTCTTATTATCTCTCCCGTTCATCGCATTTTTCCCCAAGTCTCTGCCATTCTTCCCTCTCCTTCTGCTCTTTCCTGTTTCCAATATATATTCAAATCCTCATTTGTTCTTCTCTTTGTTCCTTTTGTCAATTTTCTTTTTAGCGATAATCTTGTCCTTCCTTTCTTGTCTTTCGCCGCCTTTGTTGCCGTTCTCGGATTATAACTCCTTTCTTCCTATCCCCTCCTATCCCCCCCTGACTATCCATGGCCGGCCCCCACCTTCCCCTTTGACGTCCCTCCCTCACACCCCTCCCACCCACCTTTGTCACCCACAAACCCCTCCAACGCCCACATCCTCCGCCCATACATCCCCCCCCCCCACAACCCCACCACTGAACCCACCTCGGTCCTCTAGTACCTCTCCTGGCCCTTCCTCAGCCCCCTCACCTGGTGCTGAGGAAAGGTGAGGGGGCTCATCTCTCACCCCCTCCCCCCCCTCACCCTGCGTCCCTTTCTCATTCAATAAAGGTGAGGGTAAACACGATAAATAATATTTAATACGGTGATAAGCGCAGCGGGTCGCCGGTAATTACTGGGCATTGGAGAAGCCAGGCTGAGGAGTTAATGGGAGGGGGGGGGGGGTGATGGGAGGGGCGAAGGGGGGTAATGGGAGGGGCGAAGGGGGGTGATGGGAGGGGCGAAGGGGGGTTATGGTAGTGGTGGGTGGTGATGGTAGTGTGGGGGGGTAGTGATGGTAGTAGTGGATGGTGATTAATGTGAGTTTAGTGGATGGTACTGTGGGTGGGAGGGGACTATGGAACGGCGTTAGGAAGTGGGAAAGGCAGACACGAGACCTTGTAGCATGTAAATAATTACCTCAGGGAAGGGTTAAATGTGACCGGGATATCAGTGAAGGTTTAGGTAATTGGCTCATTGGGGAGGGGAAACGGGAGAGGAGTTCAGGGAAGGGAGGTTACCTTACCTTGAGGTGCTTCCGGGGCTTAGCGTCCCCGCGGCCCAGTCGTCGACCAGGCCTCCTGGTTGCTGCACTGATCAACCAGGCTGTTGGACCCGGCTGCTCGCAGGGAGGAGAGGTTTGTAGTGGGGTTTGAAGTCTGCAAGACGGGTCTTGAGTTGGGAGGAGAGGATTGGCGGTGTTTAGAATGACCTTAAAGTGACCGAAAGATTAAAAAATGCAGTTTAATTATCGAATCTGTATGCGGAAAATACTTGAGTTATGATTAATAAGGATCATTAGCCCCAAAAGACACAGTATTAATGTAATAAATCAGGTGTATAAGATTTTGAATCGTTCTAACGCTTCAAAATCTTACTAGAAATCTAGAAGCGTTCGTCAACATGGCATCTATTGCTCCTCTTCATCTTAATCTTGCCTTTCTTAGACCCCATTTATGGAGTTAAGTTTGTCTCCGTACAATAGAATAGACGTAAATTCAGATACACGTTTACAGAGTAAGTCACAAAAATTACAAATTTCATTACAAAAGGCGAAGAGAAAGAGAATGTGATGATTAAGCAGTAACTTGTATGCCATATTCGGACCAACCCGTCCTCTTAAAAATGTCACTTTTCGCTCGTATGCGCACTATGGCCAAATTTGAACGTAATTTGATATGAAATCGACTCAGAAAAGTGACGTACTGTCCCGTTTTCTGTTTGAGTCGTCCGGCTTACTCGGACAGGTTAGGAGAGAAAACTTTCAATTAACGTTTTTCATAACGTTTTGAAACTTTATGAGAATTTCCTGCCCACCTAACCTACCAGAAGACCCTTAACTTACTGATGTTGAAAAAAAATCCCAAATTTATTTTCAATTTATTTTTCATTTTCAAATTACGTCCACTTTCGGTCATACGGACGAACGGCCAAAAGCGACGTTATTTTTAAGAAAGTAATCCACGGGAGACAAACTCTGACTCCATTGATTTTGTCATTGCATGTTTTCCTTGCTTCAAACACATCACATGGATGAAAGGGTATAAAAAAGAGGATAATAAATATATAAACACAAAATGCAACGCGAAACAATGAATACAAATTTAATACAATTAGATTCAGAAATAAAACTGTTAAATATTGCACACAGAGATCACACTAACGTGATGCTTCAAATGTTCAGTAGAAGTTCGGTTTCAACTCTTTTAACCCTGTCGTAGCTCAGTCGATTAAGGCAGTGTCTGGGATGCTCCCGGACGCAGGTTCGAATCCTCGTCACGGCCCTTGTGGATTTGTTCTGTTAAATATTGATTTGCAGATAGAGAGGATTTTTGCAAGATAATTCCGTGTATCATAACACTTCGGATTACTGGAGTGTTTCAGGAGACACTTAGGCATATATATACAAATGAATATGATTGGGTATAAATAGTGTATTCCTCACATGGGTCAACAAGTCCTGTGCAGTCTGATTTATTTATATTTTCTTGTATTTGTGTCTCGTGTCCTCGGTTCTGTCTCTGACTTTATTCTTACCTGTCCCGTTGTTTACCTGGGTATCTTGAGATCTTGAGGTTATCTTGAGATGATTTCGGGGCTTTAGTGTCCCCGCGGCCCGGCCCTCGACCAGGCCTCCACCCCCAGGAAGCTGCCCGTGACAGCTGACTAATCCCAGGTACCTATTTTACTGCTAGGTAACAGGGGCATAAAAAAAAATGTTTATTTAGGTAAGGTACATACATACAATAAATTTTTACAAAGATTGGTTGACTTATAGGTAGAGCTAGTACATACAATGCCTAAAGCCACTATTACGCAAAGCGTTTCGGGCATACGCTGAAACGCATACGCATAGGGTGAAAGCCTCTCATTTCCAGCCTTAAACCTCATCTTCAGCTCAAACTTTCCTTCCTCAGTATCCCCTATCACTCCTCAGTTCATTCTACCTTCTCACGCGCCCTCCCTCCCTCCCTCCCTCTCTCTCTCTCTCTCTCTCTCTCTCTCTCTCTCTCTCTCTCTCTCTCTCTCTCTCTCTCTCTCTCTCTCTCTCTCTCTCTCTCTCTCTCTCTCTCTCTCCCTCTCTCCCTCCCTCCCTCCCTCCCTCCCTCCCTCCCTCCCTCCCTCCCTCCCTCCCTCTCTCCCAAACCGTTCCATAACCAGCCCATCCCTGTTGGCTCTTGTTCCCTTGCAACAAACCACCTCCAGTTTTCCCCTCTTTTGCCTACCAGCAAAACGCAGCCGGCTTTCCTGTTTACTTTTCATATCACTTCCATTTCCATTCTCTGTTTTCTTTTTACTTTTCCTTACATTTTCACTTCACCTTTGCTCCCTGTTCCTTCCCACTACTCTCTCTCCCCTCCTCTCCATTGCCTTTTTCCCCTTTGTGATCCGTTCTCTTTCTCCTAGTCATTCTGTTCCCCCTCGTTCCCTCCCTCCCTCTCTCCCTTCTTCTCATTCCTACCTTTTTCCTCAATTCTCTCTTCCCCCCTTTTATATAATCTCATGCCCCCCACTTTCTCAAATCAGTAAACAAAAGCAAACTCGTGAACCGAGTGCCTCAAGATCTAGGAGGCCAGGCCAGGAGGACCAGAGTGCCTCAACATCTAGGAGGCCAGGCCAGGAGGACCAGAGTGCCTCAACATCTAGGAGGCCAGGCCAGGAGGACCAGAGTGCCTCAACATCTAGGAGGCCAGGCCAGGAGGACCAGAGTGCCTCAACATCTAGGAGGCCAGGCCAGGAGGACCAGAGTGCCTCAAGATCTAGGAGGCCAGGCCAGGAGGACCAGAGTGCCTCAAGATCTAGGAGGCCAGGCCAGGAGGACCAGAGTGCCTCAACATCTAGGAGGCCAGGCCAGGAGGACCAGAGTGCCTCAAGGCAGCTGGCAGAGACACTCGCAGACTTGCCTGAAGAAAACTGAGTCTGAATTTAGTCTGAATTTAGACGGTCGTGACGCTCTTGGTCTATTTGGCCATCTTGGCCAGGTTCTCGTGCCTAATTATGAGTGTATACTAAAGTGTAGATTACTGTTTGCTTTAATACATGTATTGTGTTTATACCATTTGAGTAAATTTGTATTCGAGAGTGTTCATTGCTAATATCTGTCCTGTTTATGGATCCGTGCTTCCCATTGTTTGGGACAGGAAGCCTGGTAGGGTTGAAAAGGTGTCCCCCTAGAGAACTAACGTCTAGTGATGTACTCGCCTAGTTGTGCTTGCGGGGGTTGAGCTCTGGCTCTTTGGTTCTGCTTCATGTGTTTACTGTCTGAAGACGGATTGTGTACAGGGAGCCGGTCAGCCGAGCGGACAGCACGCTGGACTAGTGATCCTGTGGTCCTGGGTTCGATCCCAGGCGCCGGCGAGAAACAATGGGCAGAGTTTCTTTCACCCTATGCCCCTGTTACCTAGCAGTAAAATAGGTACCTGGGTGTTAGTCAGCTGTCACAGGCTGCTTCCTGGGGGTGGAGGCCTGGTCGAGGACCGGGCCGCGGGGACACTAAAGCCCCGAAATCGTCTCAAGATAACCTCAAGATGGTATTTTCAATCATAAACTGAGTATGGTGGTTGAATTAACGAGTCTTTAATCATCGTTTACAATGACTTGCTGAAGCATTTCGCACGAACTGCGTTTCATCTGACGTGATACACCTCCAGTCTAATCACCAAGTGTCTCAAGCAAATGTGACCTGACCCCTAATGACGACGCTTGTGTCCACAGCTCCCGACCCCGCTGGAGGCAGGGCGGCGCTGACTAATGTCCCGGACGACGTAGCTGAAAGTAGTTCCATCAGGCATGGAACACGGACACCTCCACCACCTCTATCCTCCAGACCTCTATCCTCCAGACCCTGTCTTAGTCCCGCAAGGCCCCCTTCCCCCGCCTAGCAATCTTCCCTTGATCGTGCACCTCAGGAGATGATGGAGACTAATCATTTTAATTTGTCGTCTTGAGAAAATTGTCTGAAAGAGTAGTAATGGATTTGTTTACCGATGAGTTGGGAGTGGTGCGGCTGGTAGACTGTGTCATCTGTATTTTGTAGTACTGTGTGCAGCTACTGTGAGGGTCCTGTACAGTGATCAGCTACTGTGATGGTCCTGTACAGTGTCCAGCTACTGTGAGGGTCCTGTACAGTGATCAGCTACTGTGATGGTCCTGTACAGTGTCCAGCTACTGTGAGGGTCCTGTACAGTGTGCAGCTACTGTGAGGGTCCTGTACAGTGATCAGCTACTGTGATGGTCCTGTACAGTGTCCAGCTACTGTGAGGGTCCTGTACAGTGTTCAGCTACTGTGAGGGTCCTGTACAGTGTGCAACAAGACGTCTCCCGCAGCTGCTGGTCGACCATTGCAGCTGGCGTGGCACGAGGAATAATGCAACACGGGTTTTCGTCAGCAAGTTAATTCTTATTCCTTCTCTGGGGTTTCTTTCCATAAATCACATGTACGTTTATTTTCTGTCTGTCTGTCTCTCTGTCTCTCTCTCTGTCTCTCTCTCTGTCTCTGTCTGTCTCTCGCTCTCTCTCGCTCTCTCTCGCTCTCTCTCGCTCTCTCTCGCTCTCTCTCGCTCTCTCTCGCTCTCTCTCGCTCTCTCTCTCGCTCTCTCTCTCGCTCTCTCTCTCGCTCGCTCGCTCGCTCGCTCTCTCTCTCTCTCTCTCTCTCTCTCTCTCTCTCTCTGGGATAGAAGGATATATGAAGTAACAGGTGTGAAGGCGAAGAGTCACAATAACGTGGCTGAAATATGTTGACCAGACCACACACTAGAAAGTTAAGGGACGACGACGTTTCGGTCCGTCCTGGACCATTCACAATAGACTTGAGAATGGTCCATGACGGACCGAAACGTCGTCGTCCCTTCACCTTCTAGTGTGTGGTCTGGTCAACATACTTCAGCCACGTTATTGTGACTCATCGCCAGCACAAGAACTGCTCTTCCAGCTGCACCAAAAAGAATGGAGCAAAGATCCATCATTGTAAATAAGTTAGGAGAGGAAGGACGTTTTGAGCAGAGCGCCAGTTTGACTTGTCTTTCAACTGTGTTTCTTGTGGATGTATTGGTTGTTCTTTAACCTTTTTGGATGGGAAAGTGGCAATAATAATTTGGAAAGAGGTGATCTCCCATTTTGCAAGGAAAGTGTCGTCGTTGTGTGTCTTGGTAGAGCTCATGAGAATGATACAATGTGACTGCAGCTACTCTTCCTTTGTTTACTTATTTCTCACTAATTTGACAAGATAAATGTTCTTTCATTGAAATGGCTCGTCTAACTCGCTAGCTTGCATCTATGCTCTCAAGTCCTGTAGTTCATAGTTTATTAGCTTGCCATTATCCCTGAAGGATCACTTACGCCACAATCATGTACCGTCAGTGTGGGGGTACCTGCTTGTATTCACTTAACTAATGACTCCCCAGAGTAACTCAAAATAATTACTGTAACAAAGTATTCTACAGACTCGATCTCCTTTCAGACAATGTACAGAAGATATGAACTATTCTCCGTCTGTTGTTTCAGATTTAGCTAC